ACTCCAGCCAAGAGCCCTTTAAAAAGTCCAGCAAAGTCCCCTCAAAAATTCCTTCCAAATCAATATGATTGCTATTTACAATATAAATACATTAATGTAGCTATATTACTCATCTACAATTGACTGAGTACAAAATTCTGGGTTATTTTTGGTGAAAATAGGGTATGGGGCCTTGGTTCAGGAACCAATCCCTCATTTATAATAATTGTTTCCTATGAGAAAATCAGTTCTGAGTTGCAACGTTTTGACTTAAAATGCAGTTTTTAGGAACCAATTGCGTCACGAGTCTGAGGACTGCCTGTACTGGAACCCATTGGTAAAGATCAATGGCCAGTCCCGACCCATAGCCCCCTGGCTCTGCCAGTGTCCTCGCTCCCAACCCATAGCCCCTGGCCCTGCCAGTGTCCCTCACTCCCGACCTGCCGGAGGGGTCCCCAGCTGCCCCTGTCCTGCTCAGGCCAGCGTGCGGTGGCTGCAGCGATTCTGGCTCATGCAGGCAGCAGTGGAGCGAATCCAGCCCCAGCACGGAGTGGAGGGAGGAGGAGGAGAGGCCTGATGCAGCCCCCCATAACACACACACAGACAGTCCCCAAGCCCTGGACCTCCAACCCCCTCTCCCTATACCCTTACCTACATCCAGCTGCTGGGGCTGCTCCCACGACACTGCCTGGGTGCGTGCAGGCCACTTGCGCGTGCACACACAGATGCACATGCTCCTGCTGCATCCAGTCACCCAAGCAGCTCCTTGCAGGCTGGAATGCTGCCAGCCTGCCAGGGGAAACCCGTGTTTTCCCATGTTCTTCTGGGACTTGCTAGGGACACTTTCAAATATTCTTGAGACCCAATTTTGGGTCACAACCCATGCGTTGAGAAACACTGGACTAAATGACCTCTGGGGGTTCCTTCTAGCCTGACTTCTCTGTGATTCTAAGGGCAGCAGATGGGGAGGGACAGGCTCAGGGCAGCAGAGATGTGCAGGCCAGGGATCGTACCCCCCTGCTACTCAAGCCACCCTAGAAAAGAACAGTGGTCCCAGGCCATGACTCGACTTCCCAGCTCCCTGCTGATCTGGCCAAGACAGCCTCATCTCAGAGAAATGGGCAGGAGCAGAGGGTTGAGCCTGAACTGTATAAAATGCCCCCGCACAAAGGCAGATGGGGCTTTGTGGAGGCAAAGTCTGGAGTTAGCCTCCGACCAGGAGGATTCTGAGAGCCCGGAGACCTGACCTCCCCGTAGTGAGCATGTCCATGTATTCCCTGCTTGTGTAGCTGCTCCTGGTCCTGTTGCCTGGTTGATAATATCCCCCCAAAAACAGCATATCCTTTGGAAGAACTTGCTTTGGCTTTTCTCATGCTTCTCCAAATAAAATAAACGTCCCCAGAGACACCCTGGGTGTAATACTTCCAGCCCTGACTTTCCTGCCTTGTATTTTATTTAACCCTACTCAGCCCCAATGCAGGAAGTGGCCAGTGGTGTGTTAAAGAGGAGCCTCAAGCAGATGGCCCCTAGCTTGGGAACTGCTCGGCTCCAGATCAGCTCCTAACTTGGAATCGTAGCGTCATGGAGAAGCAGGGCTGGAAGGGACCCAACCTGCAGGTTGGATACCCAACCCAAACCCAACCTGCAGGTTGGATACTCAGCCCCATAAAGCAGGCAGTGCTGGCAGATGCAGGATTTCCGTGAAAAATTGGAAGAGGCAATAGGACACAAAAGTGATTTTGATTTGAGCTGGGAAGTTCCTGGCTTCCAGTGTACTGTACAATTGGACTTAGGACAGTAATTCTCAACCAGGAGGTTGCAGATACATAGGGTGCCTTGAGATCCTTGCAAGGGTGCTGCAGGGTGCCACACAATGTTAGCACTGTTAGGTACATAAACATGATTCACAAAATAAACCCAGACATGTCTGAGGAATCCACGGTGTCAAAAACATTCTGCCCTGCTGTGGTCTTTGTGAGTTCTTTGCAGCAGAAAACATGCTTTATTATTTTTCTGTAGTCAAAAAACAAATTAAAACTAAAAGCTGGCATTTCTTGGGGGCTGCTTGAGCCTAAAGAGGTGGAGAACCACTGACTTAGGGGATATGGACTCAGCGGCTTGACTGCAATAGCAACGTGCAGCTACAGGGCCCAAAACAATTACCCTGGATTTTGTGCTGGCATCTACACCAATGCAAAGTGGATAGAAAGTGACTCTTAATAGCAGCTTTGCACTAGTGCAGATAAACAGGGAGCAGTCCAACAGCAAGGCAGGGCTGCAGCCACACATTAAAGCATTGCTCCTCTCACACTTTCACTCAGTGGAATAAGCACCAGTTAAATCCATATACACAGTCTGGATCTGGGTGAGGGAGCTTAAAAGAAATGAAAAGGTTAAAATGGTAGCTCAAGCGGGCAGACTGCTTCCCAGACACTGCTGCACTGAAGTACAGATGCCAGTAAATCAGAGCAAAGGAGCTACTGAAAGAAGCCAGCACAGATCTGAGCTCCCCAGTGTCCAGTCCAGCAAGAAAATGAATTTCACTATGGGCTACTTACATATGAATTTTAGGCTGTTTTCCCCATGGGGGCAGCACTTACTGACTGGGTCAGGTGCAGTGAAGCACACTGTCAGCTGAGGATCTACCCCGGTGAGCAGCAATAGGGTAAACAGAAGGGACAGAGACCATTAATGATGTTCTACACTATCAATTTAGACAAACAACTCACCATAAATGTACTTGTAGAGCTGACAAAGCAGCAAAGGACACAAGGTAATGCTAGGGATTTTTGTTTTTTTTAAGAGCTGCCTATAAATTAGGTCTAAAGAATTAATAATACATATAATATAATATATTAATGACATTGCTGTGACATGATATGGATAATATACATTAATATATAAATACCTTACAAATAATTCACAACTTATTTTCATTTCATCAACAATCACGGGCCAATGTATTTACTTTATGGTAAGGATTATACATTTCATTATAAATGGCTTGCTGGGCATGTCGGCAACTTTTACATCTCCATTCACTTTATTATTAATGGTTTCATGAACCGTAACAGCATAATGATGCACACAATGCAGTATAAATATTTGATGTGGCATCTATAGTCTCCCATCTATCATTTATAATGGGCTACAAAAACATCATAAAACATTTATTACACATTTATAGATCATATTATACTAAAACAAAGTTGTGTTATAAATACATTATTAATCCTTTATGCCATTTATAGGAATCCCTTGTAATAAGGCCTTAGCATATGTTGGTGTACAACTATAACAATAAATAGAAGGGTGGTGCAGATAAGAAATATTACACCATATCAGACAGCTTTTCAGTGCTGGGTGCATTCAGGAAAGGAGAAGATAAAAATCCGTTTCTGTTCAGATTACCCTAGTAATGAATTGGCTGGTGATGAGGTCAATCAAAAGAAATGCTGTATGAAGTGAGGATGGTTTCACCCCATTGAAAAGGTACATGGCAAAAAATGAAGTTTCTGGGCTAGTGTTAAAAACTTCCAAAACAAAGAGCAGAGTCTGTATCAAATCTTGATTAGCCCATCCATTCTCAGATCAAACTTTCATGACACCTTTATATCTTGCAGACTTTGTTAGACTCCACAGTCTAATTACTCAGGACCAAAGGGTGCACACTCAGTTCTCTATCTGCAGGTAGATTACAATGCTAGGTTCTGGAAAAACGAGGAGGCAATAATCGGGCAACAAATGTACTCACAGGATTTGTATTTTAAATTCAGTGGAAAGAGTCTCTGTTTGGAGATAAGCATGCCCATGGAGTGTTTGCAATCTAAATACTACCACACTGTGAACAAAACCTGATGCTGGGTTGAATTTATGCAAAACGTAAGCAGTACAAATGGTGAGAAAGAACGGCTTCGTTTAAATTCTACACATTTTCTTTAGTTGACCTTTAAAATGTAATGACTCAAATGGGACATTATTAGTAGCCCTGGGAAGGACATTTGATTTATAAAAAATACATTATTTTTAACCTGATAGTTTGTCCTTTAAGGTAGCTGCCTTCCCATACCCACGTGAATCAACATGCCTCATCCCTTATCTATCTCAGGAACTTGTGAGCAGGAATACTGCTGTATGGCAAGGGGCATAGATTCACTAGCTTCAGAGATCAGATAGGACTGCTGAATTATATAGCCCGGCTTTCTGTTCATGACAAGCCATTGCATTACAGCTCTTGCTGCACTGAGACCAGTTAACTTGTTTTCAACTAAACCATACCTACCAGAAAGCATCTAATACAGAGGACATCAAGAGATAGAGACTCCACTACTTGTCTCTTTGCTGGTCACACTGAGCAAAATTTAGCCTCAGAACACATCCACTGGTACATCCCAGGCATTGGGTTCACATCCCATACTGATCTTTTTCTTTTTAAAGGGTAGATGTTATTGAACCAAGAGAAATGCCATTATTAGCTTGCTATCTCAGTTATGTCCTTAGGACTGCCTTGCTCTAAATCCTCTTCCACTCCTTATGGAGTATGGATGTACTTTGCCCCATGCCCTTGTATACTTAGTTTCTTCTTGCTATGAAGGTCTGTGGTGTCAGGCAAGCGCACATACAAGAGTTTTCATATATGCACACATAGAAAAGGACATTGTATGAGCACAGTAAAAGCCTGCCTATGTCCAACTTCTCCCAAAGCCTGCATGTAAGCAGCTTGGAGGACTTGGAAGCATTTCTAGCTTGGATTTTCCCCAAAATATTCCTCACTTTTTTTGATTTGCATTGTAGATGGTGAGAGCATAGTGAGCATGTCCCAAGCAAGCCTTACCCGGACGCCGCTGTTACAGGGGTCAGCTCTGTTACTACTTACACTCATCCTGCACTTCCATACACTGCATCCGTAGTGTTGCCAGGTCTCCTGCATTTATCATAAGTCTTGTAGTGTCTGGTGGGGCTTTATTTAAAACTCTGGCTCTGGGATCTGCTGTTTACATGGGAATCTCGGCTTTCATTGGTGGGGGACAAAGCAAGAGTCCCTCTGAGCCACCCTGCGACTGTAGTGTAGACGCTACACCAGGCAAGTACCAGAAGCAGGCACACTTCTGCACCAAAGTGCTCAGTTTGAAATAGCTGTCCGAGTATGCCCTGCTAGTCAGATGGGTTTGGCAGCCTGCTGTTTGGCTACATGTCTAACCCAATGCCCAGGGATTAGCTCTTCAAAGCTAATTCAAAGTTACTGTGGGTGCGTCTGCATTGCCCTGCAGCCGCTGCTCCTGCTTCACTAGAGACAGAGCCGAAACTTTCAGCCCTCACTGTCAGAGGAATGCTCGGACATGTGATCTGACAGCATCTGAAAGATTTAAAGTGCAAGGCAAATAAAGCAAAACTTTTTTGGTTAATCTAGTGATCTGGCTTGCAGGGGGAGGCAGGGGATGACTCCCTGTTGTTTGGACACTTGGAGTTAGCAATTGTATTATCTGGATACCCCTCAAGAGCAGTGAACTTTGAAGTGGATAATGCAACAAACAGGTAAGAGATGTTACCTCCTAGACAGAGAACTCTTTTGGTACCTGTGCTGCAAAATGAGTTGGTCTATAATAAAACTTCCCTACTTTACATTCCCACAGCTGGCAGTATGTGCAGCTTGCATCTGCTAACTTGGGGAGAGTTTTCCTGCACATAGAACATTACTTTCCATTTAAATTACATGATTTAGATTAAAGGAAG